GCGGCCACCTGGCACTTCCAGCACAAAAATACGTCCTTTCCTCGGGTTTTTCAGGCCTTTATCTGGCCTTACCTGATTTGAGGCATATTCTCTTTTGAACGTAAATATTTAAAATGCAGGTGACACTGAGTCCATTTCCCAGTTGAGGGCAAGGCAGGCAGTTGAGAAGCCTGGACCTTTGCTGGCTAGTTCTATGTCAACGTGACCCAGGCTATAGCCATTTGGGAAAAAGGCACCTCAACTGAAAAAAAAAAAAAAAAAGTATACAATGGAAAAAAAAAACATCTTCAACAAATTGATCTGTATACATCCTTACATCTGGTGGGTAGCCCTGTAGGATATTTGATTGACGTGGCAGGGACCAACTTACTGTGGGCAGTGCCATCCCTGAGCTGATGGTGTTGGTGCTTACAAGGAAGGAGGAGGAGCAAGTCGCTAAGCAGCACTCCTCCAGGCCTCTGCAGCAGCTCCTGCTTCCAGGTTCCTGCCGTGAGTGACTGCCTTTGATGATGGACATGGAAGCTGAAATAAGCCCTCTCCTCTCCAAGCTCATACTGTTTAGCCACAGCACTAGAAACCCTAACTAAGACAGTGCCTGCAGCTGGACAGGCGGTCTCTGTAACCATTAGCAGGCTAAGAAGGCCAATCCCACCCCTCTCTTAGCAACACTAGACTTTTAAAAAATATTGCCAGGGAAGTAAATATAGCACTATGTCATATTGAATAAAATCATATATGATGAGCCCAGCACAAAGCCTCAGTCACCAAAATTGTTCAACAACTGCTGTTGCTGTTTTTCTGTTAGTGTCACAGCACCCCGTCGCCAGCAAAGACCTCTAGACACAGGTTTTCTCCCGGACAAAACCAGATTTATCACACCTTGCCAAATAAAGGCACATAAGTCTGAGTGAGTCCAAAGAAGAGACAGAACGTACGTGGCCCGCTAAACATAGGGCGTAAACATAAAAAGAGACTATGCTAAAGGGAGAGAAAAAGATATAGGCACCCCCAAAGCTGAAAAAGCATGTCCCAGGGAGGACAGATAGGGAGGTTTCCAAATGCTGGGTGCTAGAGGTAAAACTTAGGCTCTCCACCCTGACCTGGGGAGTACGCTATCTGGGACAGAGTTGTTACTAGATACTGCTTAGGGAAGAGAACGTTCGCTCCGGTTTGGGGTTGCACAGGGTCATTCCTGCTCTTGTATCGACTTCCTACTACACTGTAACAACACACGGAAGAGCACAAATTTAGACACTTAAAGCCACCATAGGTGGTTTTTCTTGCGGTCTGTAGGTAGTCTGGCGTCATTGTCAATGGCTGACGCCAAGGGCTCAAAGGCGCCACCTTCTGACAGGACGCACCCTCGCATCCTTACATCTGATGGGTGCTGTACTTGTGTTCCTTCTGAAGGCCACAGTGGCTATTTCTTCCCACGTCTGTCAGGAGAACCGGTTCCTTCCCCTTGTTCAGCTTCCAGAAGCTGCCTGCATTTCTCAGCCCTTCCCTACATCACTCCTCCTTCTTGCTTTAGTGATTCTCCGAGTTCTGTGAGGATAGTTCAAAATAATCTCCCCTCCTCTTACCCACATCTTCAGAGTTCCTCTTGCTGTGTTCAGGTCAGCAGAACTAGCCAGGGGATGACCCTGGGGTCACCATTCTGCCCACCACATCTCTGCTCTGAGGTTATTCCAGATTGGTCTCTGCCGGCCTGCCCTGGCCATGGGAACCTGATGACACTTCCCCACTGAGAAGCTTTTTATCCTGTCTCCAGACACCAGGGCCTTGCGACAGACCCTTGGCTTTCCTTCTGGGAGCTGTTTGTCCCCTTTCTGTCCTGCTCACAGCAACTCCTCCTCCTCACATTTCTTACTGACCCGTCTACCTACAGCTTCCTTCTCAGCCACGAAGCACACAGGCGGGTGAGAGAGCAGGAGTATGAGGCAGGGGGATTCTCACTCCTGGTGGGAGAAGTGGCTTGTTTTCTCTTCTCTCCCATCATCCCTTCTTCACTGAAGACTTTCCTTCTGCTGCCTTCCAGCTTAACCTCGTGACTGTTAAAGATCAGCATTTGCTGTATTTTAATTGCAATAAAACACTTTCCTCACTGAGCAGGCAATATGGGTTAGAATGAGTTAGCATCGCCCTTAGATTTCTGTTCCATTTTATTGTTGTTGCTTTGTTTTGTTTTGTTTTTATTCTATTTGCTTTGCTTTGGGACACTGTAGTCCAGGCTGGTCCTGAACTCACTGATTCAATTCCGGCACCCACATGGAAGCTCATAACCCTCTGGAACTCCAGCCCTAGAGGATCTGATGTGCTCCTCTGGTCTCTGTGGGCACTGGATGCACGTGGGACACAGTCATGCATGCAGCCAAAACCCCCATACACATCAAATAAAACAGTTTTAGTTGGTTTTTACCCAATTTTTAAACAAATGAAAGAATATAATTAGCATTAATTATCACAAGGTGGTATTTTTCCTGAAAGACTATGTTATTATCTTTCTGTGATGGATATGTATTATTTTAGACATTTTAAGTGCATTAGCACAATATATTACATTATAAGGAATATTGAGTGCTCCCAGGAAACCAACTACTATGTATACTAAGTTAAAAGAATTAATTTTTAAACTCCTGGCTTTTAAAAACACGAAACATTTTTTTAATATAATTTTTTATTGAAAAAAAATTTCCGCCTCCTCCCGCCTCCCATTTCCCTCCCCATCTCCCTTTTCCCTCCCCCTCCTCCCTCTCCTCTCCCCCTCCCACCACTCCTTTCCCCCTCCCTCTCCAGTCTGAAGAGCAGTCAGGGTTCCCTGCCCTGTGGAAAGTCCAAAGTCCTCCCCTCTCCATCCTGGTCTAGGACGGTGAACATCCAAACTGTCTAGGCTCCCACAAAGCCAGAACATGAAGTAGGATCAAAACCCAGTGGCATTGTCCTTGGCTTCTCAGCAGCCCTCATTGTCCGCCATATTCAGAGAGTCCGGTTTTTCAGTCACAGTCCAGCTGGCCTTGGTGAGCTCCCACTAGATCAGCCCCACTGTCTCAGTGGGTGGGTGCACCCCTCGTGGTCCTGACTTCTTTGCTCATATTTTCCCTCCTTCTGCTCCTCCTTGGGACATTGGGAGCTCAGTCCGGTGCTCCAGTGTGGGTCTCTGTCTCTATCTCCATCCATCTCCAGATGAAGGTTTTATGGTGATATGCAAGATATTCATCAGTATGGCTATAGGATAGGGTCATTTCAGGTTCTCTGTCCTCAGCTGCCCCAGGAACTAACTGGGGACATCGCCCTGGGCACCTGGGAGCCCCTCTAGATGGATGGAAATAGAAAACACTATCCTGAGTGAGGTAACCCAGACCCAAAAAGATGAACATGGGATGTACTCGCTCATAATTGGTTTCTAGAGATAAATAAAGGTCAGTGAGTCTATAATTTGATTTCCTAAAGAAGCTAAATAAGAAGGTGATCCCAAAGAAAAACATATAGCTGTCCTCCTGATTATGGGAAGTAGACAAGATTGCCGGGCAAAAAATGGGATCTTGGGGGTGGGGTGGGAGGGGGTAAGGGGAGATGGGGAGAGAAAAGTGAGAAGGGGAGGTTGGGGGGAACTTGGGAAACGGGATGATTGGGATAAAGGAAGGTTGGATAGGGGAGCAGGGAAGCACATATCTTAATTAAGGGAGCCATCTTAGGGTTAAAAACACGAAACATTTTGAGGCAGAGACTGCGCTAGTTTAGAGTGGTGTAGTTAACTGATTTTAACAAAGGCATGCTGCAGTTACCCGTGAACGCCATCAGAGGGCGCCAAAGTAGGCCTCTGATATTTATTAGCAGAACCTGAGTGGCTGGATCCCAAGGCCTTTTTTTTTTTTTTTTTTTTTAGCAGACTTAAAATAGGCAAAACTTCTCTGGATAGAATAAATGTTTGTTAGTGGTATATTTCAGTACATTTTTTCAACGTGCAAAAATTTAACAGTACCGCTTCCCTGAAGGTCAGATTCTCAGAAGTTCCGGAGATAATGTAGACGCTTTAATGACCCCTGAGCTGTTAGGAAGGATCCAGACAAGGGAGTGGCCAGATGTCAATGGGGCTTACCAGGACACAGTGTGGTGCAGCCCCCACTGCTGCTCTTCCTGACTCCTTCCTCCGCACACTCCACAGGTTTTCCACGGGAACACCACACTGGGAGGGAGTGGAAGGGGAGACGGGGCCAACCTGCTTCCTTATGACCCACACCTGTCCCACCACCCTGTGCTGGTGTAGAACTCTCTTCTAAAGAATGAGTGTGTCGCCGAAAAGCCTAGAAAATTCTAAGAGTTCCAAGCTGGGGAATTGCAAGAGACCATACTTGTCTTTAGAAGATAGGCCAGAATAAGATGTCAACACAGGGCTGAGTCATGGTCTGTGGCGCTGTGACTCCATTGTTTGCACTTGCACGTGGGTATTGCGACCAGACATCCACATGGCTCCAACAGACACTTTTGAGGAGTTTTCTCCCTTCCACTTGGGAAGAAAAAAATTCTGCTAGAGGACATGTGTCCTTCACCAACAGCAGCTGGTGACCGCTGCTGCCAGCTCTAGGGATCCTAACTGTGGCAGAAAATTTTGTCTCCTGTAAAAAGCAGTGTGGCCATATTGAACTGCAGCATGGTGTGGGAGCGGGTGCTTCTGAGGGTCAACATTCCTCTGTAAGCAGATTGCGTCAAAAAGTGGAGTAAACAGTTCAGTGAGAGAATCCTTTCTAACACGTGACTATAAAGGTGTAGCATCATCCAGCTCAGAGGTCAGCATTGGAGATTGAATCCAACAGGCTGATGGCTAGGAAAGTGAGGGTGAATCCTAATCCAGCCAGCAAATCACTCAGCTCAAAAGAAGAGACAGCCTCCATTTTCTCAGGCTGGACATCAGATCCTGTGCTGTTGAAATCATTTCCAGAAACTAGGGTTCAAATAGTGACATCATCATTCTAACAGTGTGTGTCATGCTCTTCCCGCAGCTGGACCATTATCCCTCCATGAGTTACCATCTGCCCAGCTCCTCTGACACGCTATTCAATTCTCCCAAGTCGCTCTTCCTTGGAAAAGTTATAGGTAAGTCCTTGGTTCTTCTGGTACAAGTGTGGTGTTAAAAATGCACCTGTGGCAAGTCTTCCGCGGTAGTAAGTGTGAATTTGCATTTTTAACTACAGAGCTCTCTCAGTGAGGTCAACCCGGGGCATCCCTGTACCAGGAAACCTAGGTGGTGGCTGACAGTGGTTCACAGGAGTGCTACAAAATCCTCTTCGGGGTATTGCTCCTGCGAAACGCTAATTACACCTGTGACGTGCGCTGTGATTAGCATGGAGGACATCGCAGGCAGTGCCTGACATGGAAGTAGCATTCTGTGGTACCTATTATAAAGCAAGATGCAATTATCATCTCTCAGATTCACTTTTTAAAATTTGTTCTCTGGGATATTGAAGGCCTCTGCCTATGTACAACAACTAATTTAACTTCTTCCCTCTGAATCACTCCTAAGAAAAGTGTCTAATGTCATTTGCAGATTATAAGGTCATGAAGTAGAGGACTCATCCCCTACATGTGACTGCATTTATAACCACCCTTGTCCTCCCTTCAATATAAGAAATGGGCGTTATCTAGATGAAAAGGCAGGTACTATTGCTCACAAGTATTTTTAGTGTTTTACATGAAGTCTACAAAATTTTTCTATTCCTGTGAGAGTGTCTGTCATGAAGTAGATGCCAGTGTCAGCATGAAGCACAGCCCATGTCTCAAGGGGGATAAAAGATCACTTATCCTGAGCCACATAGGCATGACCATGGCCAGATTGCCCCCAAATAGCATGTCCCAGTGTGGAAATGATTACACAAGCTTTTATAGTCACAGGACATGCCATAAATCAAAGCACTTTTCAGACACATTGGTGAGACATGTTGATGGGTCACAGCAAGGCAGGGAACTTCTATTGTATGTTTTACCTGATGATGTTCTTAGCTTGAGGATAGTGAAAGAATTCGGAACTTCTACCTGAGTGTAAACAAGTTAGGTGGACAATGAATGGATAAGAGGGCTGGAGACGAGAGCTTGGCCCGCAGTCCCAAGGCTCTCACCAGCCAACAAGCCTTTAAAGCATTTGACATAGCTATGGCTTTCTTCCTGGGCGCTTTAGTTCACGGTGGTAACAGACAGACGGTCCAGTGAACACCGCTAATGCTATTTCACCAGGCCACTTTCCCCACTGTGCAGTATGCCAGTTTGGGAAGCCACAATGTTGTAAGGAGGGTGCTAGTTAGTTCCCAGCCACTTAGCCCCAAAATAATCACACAGACACTGTATTATTTAAATCACTGCTTGGCCCATTAGCTCTAGCTTCTTATTGGCTCTTACTTCTTAATTTAACCCATCTCCATTAATCCGTGCATCAACACAAGGTTGTGGCCTACCAGCAAAATTTCAGCACATCTGTCTCCAGCAGTAGTTCTATGGCTTTTCCCAGCATTCTTCCTCCCAGCATTCTCTTTAGTTTTCCCCCTCTACCTCTATTTTCTGCACAGGCCCAAGACAGTTTCTTTATTAACTAATGGCATTCACAGCATACAGAGGGAAATCTTGCATCACAAGTTTTTCGAAACTGAATTCACTCACACAGCAGCCAGACATGAGGGAAAGGAGCCTCTGAAACCATGTGCACCTCCCCAAGATGAGGTTAGGGGTTTTCATAAGACAAGGAAACAGGGTATTCTGAAGCATGAGGGGAGGTGATCAGAGAGGTAAAGAGGGGTGAAGTGATTAGTAGCCTGCATATGCAAACACTGTCTTTATCGCTCCTCATAGAATATATGTTCTGAAAACAGCCCTGATAGTGTGACTTGTGGGTGGAGTCTGGGGCTCTGTGATGTCAGAAGGTTTCCTGTCAATCACATATGCAGACCCGAAACACAGGGCCTCAACCAATGTGAGCTAGGCAAAGTTCTCTGGAAAATACAACCTAATCTGTCTTTATCAAGGTGACCTACTGTTAATCTCAAAGATGGGAGAAGAAAGACCACTGACCAAAATCATCATGGCCAAATTAATTAAAGCAATCAATTAATTTAAACAAGCCTTTTTATTTGTGGGCACGGGCTGCCTCCCCGTAAGGAAGAGTTCAAGAGGTCAGCTTTAGATGTAAGGAAGACAAGGTTTTTATAGCTCAGGGGTGGGAGGTTTCCAAATGGGAAATTTGACAAGCAAAATAGTCAAGGTTACAGGAACAGAACATAGCAAGGTGGTCAAAACAAAGCGGTCATAGCAAGAGAGTCGTAACAACCTTTTGAAACAAAAGTAGGATTGCCAGCTGGTATTACAAGTTTTGAAACAACGGCATGATAGCAAGGTGCTCATAAGGTAGTCACAGGTGACCATAAGAACCTTTTGAAACAATGGCATGGTTGTCATTTCCTGGAACATGCAGTGCAGAGCTCTTTGTAGTTAAGGTTATAGATGGGGCATAACCCAATCTTTGAGAAACAGATTTAATCATAAACAGGAATAAGCCTAGTTTGTCTTTACTATAACATGGCTTTCAAGCCTAAGATGGAGGCAGACTGGTTCATTACTAGCACGCTTGAGACAAGTAGAGTCAACTCAGCAGGGTCTCTCATTTTACTATTTCATTATGAGACTCCAAAACTACTGGGTAGACCGAGAATAAAAGGCCAATGCCGCTGGAAGCTTCTTTGGGGTTTTCCTGGGTTCTAAAGAAAGAGCCTTCACTTGAGAGAGAAAACATCTCACACTTATTATAAAAAAAATTAGTTTCATTATGGAGACTTGGTTACATCAGTCAGAGAGCATTAATTAAAATATGGTTGCAAAATCACAGCTTGAGGAACTGAACTGAACCTGTAATGAAAGTGATAATGGACATTTATATAGAATAGCACTTCAGCTGTATTAACCCCCTTGACTTTCATCACAGTTCCAGGAAGGTGTTGAGATTATTATCTCCCTTCAGAGATGACAAAAACCAGGCACAAATATGTAAAGTAGCGGCCCACTGCCACCTGGATTACAAGTAGCAGAACCAAACTTGGAACCAGGCAGGAAGACATGAAGACAGTTCTTGAGGAGTGTGCTGTTGTCTCTGGGACAGGAAACAGAGAAGTGAAGATGAGAAAGACAGATAACAAGAACTGATGGGGGATGGATGCAAGGCTAAGGTAAACCAACCCAACAAGCATTGAGTTTTCTATAGCATACCTGAAAGTGGGAAAGATCCTTCTATAGAACCGGGAACACATCCATCCTGTTGCTCAGTGAGACAGTTAGAACCCACGAAGTGTAGAATCAGTGTAGAACCCACAAAGGAAAGGCTACAAACTCCAGGTTGGTAGAAAGGGCAATTGATAGCAAAGGTGGAATTGGAACAAAAATGAGAGCTGCAGTGTATTGACTGCCAGGCCTTAGAGTTTTGTACAGTGTGTACAAATAACTAAGTAGCTACCCTTTAATCCCTTGTGCCCTAAAAATAACATGTTGGCATGGTGTCAAATATAGGTTTAACTACATTGTACTTGTGGGTAGCTCCTAGTAGTTTTCTGCATTTGAAAGATCTTATGATTTTATGAAACAAGAAGACAAATTTTGTGACATATCTAACGTTGTATACATGAACATGATGAGTAAATATTGTAACAACCCTATGAAACAAGATGTCATTATTATCCGCTCTCACACATGAGACTGAGGGTTAATCATCTGATGTGTGGGAAAATGACTTTGCAGGCATGCTACCCTGATTGTGCCCTATCTCATTAGAACTGGGCCCAGGAGAAACTGGCTCTCATCCTCACTGATCAATGAGATCCCTGTCGATCAAGACAGGAGCAATGCTGAATGAATGATTGTTGAACTAATAATCCTGAGAAAAGAATCACAATGAATGGCATTGGCACAACACATGAGGGTGACAAGGTGGGTGGTGACACACAGTAAGGTCAACACAGAGATGATGTCAGTCCTCACCTGGTTTGCAGCTCTGTCCTTTGTTGTGGGTTTTTGCTTGCTTGCTTGCTTGCCTGCTTGCTTTGCTTTGCTTTGCTTTAGTCAGAGATCTGACAATAATGAACTAAAAAGAATGCAGGCCTAAGAATCTAGCAGAGCTGGTTAGACTTGAGTGCAGGCCTGCCTGTGGAAAATAATCTTGGTCCTCTTGTGCTAATGCTTTGTGATTTAACCTCTGAGAGTCTCAGTTTCCTCAAATATATCATGGAAAACTCACACATCTGCCTCCGAGTTGTTAGTTCCCTGAGGCTAAAGATTGTGGGCATTAAAAAAAATAATTTATCAATATTTTATCATATTATCATATATTATGTTGCAATATCAATAAGCAACATAAAACAAATGCTTAAACAATATTTGTTGAGTAAATGAACTACCCTTTTACTATTAATCTCATAACATCTGAGAGAGGGCTTATCAATCATATTGCTTGAAACACAAATAATAAAAGTATTACCACTGTTGGATGCTGGCTGTGGGCCTGCCATCTGGTTATATGCTGTATTTATAAATTCTTCCCAACCTCACCAGCCCCACTCTCTAGATACAATTGCACCCTTAGACTGTGATGATCAGGAAGGGCTCCAGACACTACCATGGGCAAAATCACCACCAGTCGAGAGCTCCTGGCTTAAAGAGACAGAGCTAATCCATGGGAAGATGGTGTAGGAAAAGCATGATGTTTGGTCCATGCCCTAGGCTTTGCTGCCTGGTAACACCTGCACCCTTAGGAACAGTGGGGACGCAAGGAGGACAGCTGGTGCAGGAAAACACAATTCTGCTGCTAGAAGCAAAAAAGTCAGAGTGCCAAAACAAAGGCTGTACGAGTGGCTGGGGGCCCTGCTTTTTCACTACCTTTCAAGCTAGTAATCTTTAACTATGCCATCAGTACAGGCAGGACTCAGGGGAGTAATTCTAAATTTCCCTTTGAGCATAGTTCAGTGAAAAATGAACTATTTGCATTTTCCAGATAGATACACATCTGAAAAGATGAGTTGGGCTCCCAACAGATATTTCGTGCACTCCAAAGGCTTGACAACCCCTAG